ATTCATCATATTTTCTCATGACTGTGTTGTACGAATAGCTCTGTTGAGGTTACATTTTTCGTTATAGAATAGGTAATTATCCTGTAGGGCCACACTACCTATACTGGAGATGTAGCTGGCGAACATGTTCTAGAAATGCACCACTCGGCTGCATGTTGGAGCAGCTCTGTTACTTTCATTCTGGGATGTTGCTTTTGAAAACTTAAATTCCACTTTTTCTGGTTGAAAATTGGATTATTTCCTCTATCAGATGCTGTGCAGCTTGAAGGATTTTTACTGAAACATTTTTGCTTTTGGACATTTCTTATGATGTGTAACCATGACAACAAGGTGGTTTTAACAGTTGGGAGCAGTTGATTAACATCTCAAAAAACTCAAATAACACCTCAGCTACAGCCCCAAATCACAAAAGAGTTAAAAAGGAGGTGCCATGGACGCATCTCCGTCTACCTGGCAGAGGTGCTTTAGTACCTGACCGCCAGGATATTGGAGCTGATGGGAAATACGGCTCGTGACAACAAGAAGACCAGGATCATTCCCTGACACCTGAAGATGGCTGTCCGCAATGACAAGAAGCTCAACAAGCTGCTGGGAAGAGTACCCATTGCTCAGGGTGGAGTTCTGCCCAAGATTCAGGTGGTTCTGCTGCCCAAGTAGACCGAGAAACCCACCAAGTCCAAGTAGACGACAAATATCTATAACCAGTTTCTTCAGATATGATCTTATACGGACTGCTACAAGAGATGCTTCCTGCCCACAGCCATGAGCATCTATAACAACTCTAATGAAACCAGGATGAGGAGCTAGAACATTTAATTTCTCTTTGGGATTGATAAAGAATTTTTGACTTGAATTGAATTGACTTGAACGTTTATCTTAATATTGTATTTAATCGGATCTCGATAGACTTTTTCATTTTTTTTTTGTTTGTTTTCCAGGCCAAACAAGCAGCAAAGTACCATATCATGCCATGATCTCTGTCTTTACCTCCCATTTTAAATGATGATGTCATGCATGTATGCTATGAAATGTGGTAATATGTGTATGTAGTAATGAAGTAATAACATGTTCCATGCCCACAGGTCATGGTGTTCCTGAGCAAGACACCTAATCCTTAATTGCTCCCCGGGTGCTTACAAAGCTGCCCACTGCTCCACCTGGGTGTATCTCAGGTGTGATGGGTTAATACAGAAAACTAATTTTGTCATTTGTATGGGAAGTTGGAGGGAAGTTTGACATTCTTTGTGTGCTCAGAGGGACACGAAGTCTTTTGCAGGTTCCACAATGATAGATTGTGCTCACCTTTCTTTTGCCACCCACTATCCACCATCCTGCAGAGCGTATAGTTCCTTCAGTAAACAGGCGACCTTGAAGATGGACTTGATCGTGGTATGAGAAGAATTGCAACATGGTGGCCTGGAACTATAAGTGGGTTCTTCTCACCTTGGGTCAAATTTGAGTTGGTGATGCGTTCACCTACTCTAAGGTGTCCATTTTCATCCAGATAAGGGTCCATGTTCTTGAGAGGACTGGTTTTGGGTAGCTTATCATTTTTTTTGTACACACTTGATCTCTTCAGAATACACATCCTGTTGTACTGCTTGAATCACAATGTTTTGAACTTGTTTAAACTCATCCACAGTGAGTCATGTCTCACAGTAATGCCAACCATGACAGCAACTGTTCATGCTTGGCGGTGATTTAAAGTTGTGGATAACATGCACTAGTCTAGAAAGAGCATGTGTGAGTGATTTCCAAGTGGAAAACTTATTGAATCTATCAGAACCAAGTTGTCTGGTAGAGGCTGTAGCTTTGAGAGTAGTTACATGAGGTCTAACATCTGAGTCAATGCTAGGGTCTACAAGATCGTAAGAGTCATTTGGGAACCTTTGGTTGGGATCTGCAGCAGCCAAGGCAAGAGCAAAGGCTGAGGTGGCCAAAGCCCGTCTTAGCTTTGCAGCTAAAGAAATGAATTAAAAAAAATAAAAAGCCCAAATTGAAGTAGAAAAAGCCAAAATTGAGGCATCTATTGAATTTTTACAACAAGAAAAGGATGTAGCCTCAGCCATTGCTGAAGTAGAGGCATCAGAAGCAGCTGTTGCCTGACAGATGGAAGCACGCAGCAACCCATGTCCTTCTGTAACAGCTGAGCGTACTGAATAATATGTCATCAATCAAGGTAAATTTGTGAAAGGAGGAAAATGCTGCTCTTCAGCAATCGCAAGTTGAAAACGCACATCAAAATAAACAGGAGCCCACCAGCAAAATGAGTCATTAGACTGTAAAAAAGATGATCCACAGCAAACATAACTTAGAGATCCAGAGATGCAGAGATGCAGAAGACAGCAGTCCTAACCCAACATTTTTCAGTCAGGTCATCTGGACAGTTTCTTTTTTTTTTTTGTGCTGAAACATTTCGCCTTCGATCTAGAAGGCTTTATCAGTCAAGGAAACACACAGCAAAACTGATTCTTCCCCCAACAGCTTACTCCAAAGTGGAACAAACCAGTTCTGCTTGTGATAAGATGGTCTCTTTGGTACGCCCCCTCCTCCATTGCCGGCCGTCTTCCTTGTTGACAGTCTTGTCAAACTGGTTGAAAACATCAAAGTCCATGCTCAATAATCCAGGTATACAATCCAACATTTTTCAGTCGGGTCATCTGGACAGTTTCTTTTTTTTTGTGCTGAAACGTTTCAGCAAAAGGAAAACAAAATGACCACCATTGTCAATGTCTGTTCAGAATATATATATATAATAGATTTTCATATTTCTTTAAGTAATTGTTTTTACAGTTGGATATTAGACTTTGCAGCACAAACATTGCCATGCTTAATATCCACATCTGAAAGTCTGGAGAGCAGTTGCACATTATTCGTAGTAAGGTAGTTTGCCCTGAGCATCAATAATGTAAACTGAGCAATGTTATATTCATGCACTAACCCTCCCAGAGTGCAAGATGCTAGAACACCTTGCTGCATGTTGTAAAATTATCTTTTTGAGAGTATACCTAATTACAAGTTTAACAAAGTGATAGTGACTTGTGAGTTTGTTTATTTTGTGGTTGACTACAGTAAAATGGCATGTATGGGAAATGTAAAATATTCAAAATGTTATTTAAAATGAAAAAAATATTTAATTAGTCTCCAATTTATGCAGATTTTAGCTAAATCATTTAATAACAATTTCTAGTAATACTAAACTGGAGAAAAACATATTTTGATTTGAAAAATGTATAATTAAAAAAGCATCCTCTGGAAGTAAACAAAAGAAAGAAGGGATATGAAAAGTTTTACTTTTTTTTTTTTTTTTTGCTTTTTTTTTGGTAATAAATACAATTAACTCAGGGGGTAGTGGTGTTGCATAGGTTAGAGAAGGTGGGCCTGCGATTGGAAGGTCATCTGTTCAACTCCCCAGACCTACAACATCAAAATGAAGGTGGGAAAGGTGAAGCACCCACATCTGCCAGCAGCTCCCTGCTCCACACAGAGGGCTAGATGGTCTGTGGTTGCATCTGGAAGGACGTAAAAACAAATACCAAGTCTTCATGGGAATCAGTTTGCTGTGACGACTCCTGAAGAAGGGAGCAGCCGAAAGAAGAAGAAAAAAATTTACTCAGTAACTTACTCAACAATGAGCCAAAGTATTTCTAATTCCAAAGAAGAATGTCACATTGATATTTTACTTCAAGGAATTATTCATCATATAGTTATCCTTTATTATAAAAATAAAATATAGACAATCACAAGCACATCAACTGATTCCAAAGTCCACAACTGTCCAAAGTTGGACAGTTTTTTTTTAATTGTTTAATTATTATTTTAGGGCTTATTCTCTTTCATTAATTTTATTATCCAAATTATTTTTAAACACCAATATTAAGACATTTTGCATGAGTAACCTGCCAAGAGGTCAGTAGCACACTTAAAAAAAAACATGTAACAAAATATGATTTAAAAAATATATTTTCTCCTAGTCAATTCGCTAGTGCAGCTACAGCGTACGCTCCCAGGACATTATTACCTGCAGTGTGCCCTCAGTGCAGACTGAATTCTGCAAAAGGGCCTGTAAGGAGTGGTGGCGCAGAGGTTAGAGAGGTGGGCTTGTGACCGAAGATCGCCGGTTCACGCCCCGGCCCCGACAACATCAAAAATTGTAGGTGAAACACCCACACTTGCCCCCACCCTCATTCGCCCCACCCTGGGCCCATGAGCAAGGCCCTTAACCCCCACCATGTGCTCCCTAAACAGGTCTCTCTTGAAAATGAGTTCTCGTGGCTCAATGAGACTAACCTGGATAAATAAAGGCTAAATGAAAAAAAAAAAAAAAAAAAAAGTAACCTGGAACACCTTGCAAAAAGATCTGAAGCTTTCGACCTTGGCCTCTGGGTTTTTAAACTGTTACGTTCAATGCAAAAATCAATGCAGACATGTTCCTTTTTTTTAGTGTCTCACACCGTTTTATAATGTAGCATGTTATTTTATTTCATATCACTTCTTTAATATACTTTTCATTTTATGTGCTTTCATGTGATTGTTTGTTGTTGTTGTGTGCACCTCATTTATGATTTTTGTTTAAAACAGGTCTCTTGTAAATGAGTCCTCATGACTCACTGAGACTAAATAATCAAATGTTGAATGAAAAAAAGTATTTGCATGTTGTTTAATTTTAACTTTATTATATGTATTATCAATTTTTTTTGTTGTTGTTGTTTTTAGTTCATCAATTTTTGTTGACATGATGATGCAACAATCAATAAACGAACACAATCCGTGCCTTAGCTTCTTGTTGGTCTTGTCAATAAATCTAATAAAGGTGAAGTCAGGTATTTGGCAGTGAAGTGGACAGGTAGGGTGAATCCAGAGCACCAGATGTGTCATCCTTTAAGTATTGCAACAGAGCTCCGAGGAGCCGGGTGCGTGCAGACCATCAGGTTGTGCATTCTTTAAGCCGAGGACTAATTTCCAGTCCACCACTTGGCTGTGTGTAAACAGCACCGCCCCGACGCTTGTTTGTTTGAAGTGTGGAACGATCCATCGCGCAGCGCCGGGCTCGATTGACACTGTCTGCTGATCTGCTGCTGCGGATTGCTCCGAATAACAAGGCTGCTCGCTAATTCCCGTCGATCGGGGCTTTCGGCGAAACACCGAGGAGAGTCTAAAAAAAAAAAAACAACCTAAACTGGGCAGGCAAGAACGCCGCCCCACGGTTGTCCGCACCCCAGAATGGCTTCAGGAGACCTTTACGAGGTAGGATTTCAACCTGTCTGCTCTGTAATATTGACGAATAATGGAATTAGGAAGTAAACGGAAGGGCGTCGCGTATGTTAAAAAGCGGCGTCCTGAGCCCTTTAACAGGCGAAACTAACCCGTGTCGGGCTTTACGAGCTACACGGGTTCATTTCTGCTCGTAGTTGAAGTCGCTTGTGGTATACTTAGACATATTTCCTGTCGGTGGTGGTAAATAAGATGTGAGGAGGGGGGGGGGGCTGTTGAAAGTCGTGGTAAAGTGACAGCGGACGGGCTGATGGACTGAAGGTGCGCAAGAGATCATTTCTCTTATGAAGACACCAGTTTGTTGTTATTGAGCTTTGAACAAGTGCTTTGTGAGTCTTTTTTTTTTTATTGTGACTCCCTTAGGAGCGTTTTAGGTGTAAAAAAAAGTTGCCCCCAATTTGGGGGCTGCGGTCACCCTCGTGCGTGTCGCTCTGAAACTGCCAGGAAGAAAAAAAAAAAAAAAGCACAACGTCTCGTCCATCCATCAACCTGATGGAATCAGCCACTTACTGTCAATGAGCTCTTGTTGTGCTGTTATGGCGTCTTATGTTTCAGTTTAAAGAGAAAGGAGGGATTTGAGTTTCTGATTGCACCCACATGCACACATTAAAAAACAGAGAGTCAACCTGAAAACATGAGGTTCTCCTGAATGTTCAGGTTGATAACACTATCAGCTCACTGCACTGACAAAAACAGTAGATTAAACATGACAGTGGTTATTTCTTTAAAGTTATACCTTCAGACTGTTATTATTATTTTATACCCCCAAATATGAAAAATTTGGGATGTTGTGTAAAAAGTAAATCTCATAAGCCCTTATATTATTCACAATGGATGACATTAAACATGTGCAATTTTTAAGCTAAGACTTTTTATCTTTTTTTTTATTATTATTATTTATGTTTTTTTGTTTGTTTGTTTGTTTTTTTGTCTTGTTTTGGTTATTTTTGGAGGGAGGGGGACAAAGCCATGTTTGTCTGTATGAAGCATCTCCTCTTCTTTTAAAAAGTCAAAGTTTCTTTTCATATGTGGTGGAATGAAATTGTGTGCACAGGGTCCCAGTTACTTCCAACAAAAGTATAAATTGTAAAGTTTGTAAATGTTTAGCAACTGAGAAAACCAGCTGATGGGGGAGTGTTGTCCCATTCTTGTTTCTGGCTGTTCTAAATGTTTGTGGGTGCATTCACACCAGCCCTGTTTAGTCCACTTTAATCGTCCGTTTGCCAAGAAAGTCCGGTTCTTTTGGGGAGGTGTGAATGTGCAATCGAACTCTGATGCGGACCAAAAAAAATGAACTCTGGTCCACCTAAAAACCTAGGTCTCGGTTTGGTTGAAGTGAACTCTAGCGCGGTTCAAATGCATTGTGAATGCAAGCAGACCGGAGACCGCTCCAAAAGCAGGAAGTGGACTACAGCGCAGGGCATTCTGGGTAAATGGGACAGGTTGGCTCGGTTGACTCAGTGCAGTGAATGTGAATTGCACCAGCTGAAAATGGAAACAAACGTTCTGAATTTTGGTCCCCAATCGAACAGAGTCTACCGGACTATCAGGTGTGAAAACGACATGAGTTTTTTTACTGAATAGGATTTTTTTATTTTACTTTAATTTTCTCCATTCATGGTGCCTTTCCATGATGTGCAAGCTAGTCATGCCATAGACTAATGCACCCCATTACCATCAGAGAGGCAGGATTTTAAGTCTCTCATCTCTTTCTTTTTCATTCAACCTTTATTTATACAGGTTAATCCCATTGATTCATTGTTTGTCATTCCCCTTACAGGTTAATCCCATATTTAAGAGTCTTATTAGAATAATTTCTACCATGGAGTGGTGGCGCAGAGGTTAGAGAAGGTGGGCCTGTGATTGGAAGATCACCGGTTCAACTCCTGGTACCATCAACATTAAAATGTGGGTGGGATGTGTGAAGAACACACACCTGCCTCCACCCTCATTTGCCCCACTCAGGGCCTTTGAGCAAAGCCCCTAACTCCCAGCATCTGCTCCCCCGGGTGCCCTAGATAGCAGCTCTCTGCTCCACACAGAGGGCTGTGGTAGCTCGGTGGTCTGTGTTTGTGTCAGGAAGGACATCCGGCATAAAAACAATTTCCAAGTCTTTGTGCGACCTAGTTCACTGTGGCGACCCCTGAAGAACGGAGCAGCTGAAAGAATAAGACAAAAAATGTTAGAATTTCTACCACAGCTCCTACCCGTTTTTATGTGTACCCTTGAAAAATGGAAGAAAAAAAAAAAAAGGGGGATTTCCTTTCGCAATAACAAAAAATATGTTTTTAAAAGTTTGAGGTTGGAATAACATGAGATTAAACAAGACAGCATAATTTACAATAATTACCCCCTAAAATCAATATTTACCTATACTTTTTTAGAATTGGGGATAGTAAAAGCAATCTAATTCAGGATTTTTTTCTGGATTTCATTCCTTTTTTGTATCAGTTTACTATCACTTGAATAGTGTTCTGAGGTGGGGTTTTTTCCCCACGTCACAAAACTGTATAAGTATAGTTACCTGTGGAACTACATTTTTTTAAAATCATTTTTAAATTGGTAACCAACATTTAAATGGCTGCCTGTATCATTACCTGTACACTGATGAAACAATTATTTTTTTCTATAACCAAAAATATTAATGAATCCCTGTTAAATGATTACAAAACTTAATGAGAGAGTGCAAGTCATGACTCGATCACAAGGCTTTAACAGAGTAACATCAATAATTCAATCTGTACAGAGCTTTACGTCAGTCTGGTGCTTTTGGGTCGTTTAACTTAGGTGAAGATCAGTAAAACAACATGTTTAAGACATTAAAAAAAAATGCTATTCATGCAAGAAGAATACTGTTTTTTTTTGCAATGAACACAGTCCAAACTCTTAATTCAATTAAATTTTTTGTTTATCGTTTTATTGATTACAGTAGCCTTTTGTTTTTGACTCAACTGCAGGAAATGCAGGAGCATTAAGTGTAGAGCTACTAGACTGAGGAACAGCTTCTACTCTGAAGCTGTTTGAATCTCTAACCAGAACAATCACTGAAGAATAAAAAAAAAAAAAAAAAAAAAAAATCACATCATGCTGATGATTTATCTCATGCTGCTGTGTTCAGTCGTGCTCATCTGCTCACACAGACTCATGTTCGTGCTGCTGTTCGGCGTATTGTTTTTGTACTACTAGTGCTTAGCATATTTTTAGTAAAACGTTTTTCTTAGTGTTCATATCTTAGATCTTATTACTGTTTTTCTTTTGCGTTTTATACTTTTGTTGGATGTAACTGGGACCCTGTGTACACAATTTCGTTCCACCACATCACATGTGATGCGTATGACAAATAAAGAAATGCCGACTCTCTGAAAGAAGTGTAGAACGCAGATCTGCAATAATGTATTCTGACAGACCTTTTAACCAACAAATTAAAACGTCCATCAATTGGTTTTTAGCAGTTATAATTTTTTACTATTTGTCCTATCTTATTAGATTTAGAATGATTTTACCTTTTTTTTTTTAGAATTAGTTTTTTATTCTCACTGTATATTCACAATTTTAATGAGTACAAGAACTGACAACATCACACCAAATGTCAGTGTGTGTAACACACACAGATATGTTGTGCATGAGGTGGAATGAAATTTTCTATACAGGGTCCCAGTTACACCCAAAAATAGCTAAATATAAAGTATTTAAAGAAACAGTAAATAAGGATCTAAGATATACACTAAACAAATGTGAAATGGTACGTTAAAAGATCTGAGCACTAATAATGTAAAATAATATGTCGTAGCAAGAGCAGCCAGAACACGAGTATGTGGTGAGCTGATAAGTATGAATGAATACAGCAGCACGAGATCAGCAGCACAGATTAAGTCGCATATCACCAATTAAAGTGGCATTATAGTGATTTTTCTTACAGGGATTATCATGGTTAGGGATTTGTGAGTCTTACAGCTTCAGGGTAGAAGCTGTTCCTCAGTCTAGTGGTTCTACACTCCACAACCTTCTGCCTGAGGGTATCGGGACAAAAAGTGTATGTGCTGGGTGAATGGGGTCCTTCATGATGCAGGTGGCCCTCTTCCTGCATCTAGATAGAGGTGTAGACGTCTGTGATGGTGGGGAGGCTGACTCTGACAGTCTTCTGTGCAGCCTTCACCACTCTCTGCAGAGCTTTCCTTTCTGCAGCTGTGCAGCCTCCATGCCACTCGATGCTGGAGCACAAGAAACTCTTCACTGCACACATGTAGAAAGAAGTGAGGACTGAGCTTCCCAGACCAGCTCACCTCAGTCATCTCAGGAAGTGATGCGCTTTCTTGATCAGGCTAGTAGTGCCGTTGCCCCATCTGAGGTTGTCATTCAGGTGAACACCCAAGTACTTGTGACTGTAGACCAATTCCACCGCGAGTCCTCCTATGTTCAGTTGGGTGGAGCGTGGGATAGGTGTGTTTGCTTTGTCTGAAATCCACAACCATCTCCTTCGTCTTCTTCACATTGATGTGAAGGTTGTTCTTCCTGCACCAGCTTTCCAGGTGTTCCATCTCCTCCTGCCTGTAGCTGGACTCCTCATAGTTTGTGAGTCTGTGCATCCAACCACTGCTGTATCTGCAAACTTTACAATATGACAGCCTGGATGGGTAGGAGCCCAGTCTCACTGATGTCGATGGTTGCTTTTGTTGTGGGCCATGACCAGGCTTTCAAAGCATTTAGCAACTATTTGGGTGAGTGCTACTGGCCGGTAGTCATTCAGACCAGTCACTGCAGAGCTTTTAGGAACTGGGATGATAGTAGCGGTCTTCAGGCAGGTGGGAACAGTTGCCAGAGTTAGGGAAGAGTTAAGATATCGGTCAACACCTCGCAGAGCTGATGACAGTTTTTCAGCACCCTCCCTGGGATGTTGTCTGGGCCAGTTGCTTTGTGAGATTAATCCTCCTGAAAGTACTCCTTACTTCAGCTGAGTAAGTCCTTTTTTGGTG